GTCCGTCGGGCCGCCCCCCGTCCGTGCTGTCTTCTGCGCGGGAGGCTTGGAGTCTTTGCCAGATCTCCCAGACCCCAGGGAGGAGCCCGCCCCGACTCTCCACGGAGCTCGCGGCTTGGCCGCCGTCGACGGGCCCAGCAGGCCCACTGCTCCTTCCTCCCCTGGCCTCGCCGCTCCTGCCGTCATCGCGTTCAGGTGGCGGTCGTGGGATCAGCAGCGGTGTACTCGCAGCTGCGATCCTGGAAGGTTGTGTACTTGTCGGGGTCGAGATCCACGAGCGATCTGGCAGAAGGCGTTGGACAGGTGGTCGTCGGCGGGGCGCCGCAGGAGGCTCTCGGGCCAGACGGCGCGCTTGACGAAGCTCAGCGAGCCGCTCGTGTGCAGCACGTAGAAGAGCACGTGCAGGAACGGTGTCCTCCGTCGCCCAAGGGGCAGGCGGCGGCGGCACTCGTGCGTCAACGCCGGTGCGCATGCTGAGAGCTGGCTGGGGCTTCGAACTGTTGAGCCAAACCCAGCCAGGTGGTTTCGCAGCTCCGTCGGTGTGTCATGATGGAGTTGGCAGTCGGCCAAATCTGATTCATCCGCCAGCGGGCATCTTGTCTCAGCCGAAGGGATCCACTCATACGTGTGACGAGTCAAGTCAGGTAAGCATTTGCCCGCTCTCCACGCTCCACTGAGGTGTCTCCTGGTGTGGTCAGCGCAACTGAAGACGGTCTCACAGCTCAAGCATCTGCTGTCAATCGTGAGAACAGACAGGATCGGCGCTGTGCCGTGGCCCGCGAGCGTGGTGGCGTTTACTCGGTGGTTGGCCAACTCTTTATTGGTGACGAGACGTGCACGACATCCCTCGATCCCACGACGAAGAGGCGCCAGCCCGACAGTGTCGCTGTCCGTGTCCCCAATCTCCTCGTCCCTGGAGGAGGAGGAGGAGGAGGAGGAGGAGGAGGAGGGCCAGTGTAAACCCAAGAGTCACCAACGATGTTGGAGTAAACCCCTTCCCCCAAGCTCCATTTTCACAGGCCCCTACAACGGTTCATTTCCGCAGGGACCTGCCTCGTTGGAAGACAACCTTTTTCAGACCCTGAAGCATGCCAAAGCATTGTTCTCGGGATTCCAACTCCACGGATCAAGCTGAGAGTTGCGTCTTGCCGATCCTGAATCGTGGCAGAACGCCATTCCTGGAACTTCAACACCGCGAGTCATCGTAACTGTTGTACCCTCATAATCGTGAATCCTTCCAGAAACAAATTTCTGATACGTCGATCATGGGAATCCGTGAAACTCTTGCATGTGTAAGGCAAATGTGCGCGGCGCTAAGGCGAGAGCCAAAAAATGAAAAGGAACCATCTTCACTCCGCGAAGCTCTTGCAAATGTTGAAAACGAATGTGCGCGGCGAAAAGGCGAGAGCCACATGTTGAAAACGACTCGCAATCAATCCGTGAAACTGTTGCATTGTTTGTTATTTATACACATGCATACACATACATGCATGCATGCATACACACATACATGCATACGTGCATACATACAGACATACAAACGTATATACATACAGACATACATACATACATACACACATACCGACATACATACATACATACATACATACATACATACAGGCGGACAGGCAGACAGACATACATACACACGTACATACACACACCTGAATCCATAAATACCTAAATACATAAATGCATACATACATGCATGCACACACATACATACATGCATGCATACATTGCACTACATTACATATCATTACATTACACTACCTTACATTATACTACATTACCTTACCTTACCTTACCTTACCTTACCTTATCTTACATTAAACTACATTACATTACATTACATTACATTACATTACATTACATTACATTACATTACATTACATTACATTACATTACATTACATTACATTACATTACATTACAATGCATTACCTTACACTACATTACATTACATTACAGTTCACTACATTGCATAACATTACACTACATTACATTACTACATTACATTACAGTACATTAACATTACATGCATACATACATACATACAGATTCTACATACATACATGGTATATAATACTACATAAATAAATACCGTAAATAAATACCGCTCCCCCCCGGCCCTGGGTCCCACACCTCCCGGCGACATCTCGGGAACGCTGCCGGTACCGCTCCCCCAGCCTTTCCAGGGAGCCTCCACAGCGCTCCAGGAGGGCCCAAGACGCCTCCCAGGGGCCCCCAGAATGCGAAAGGATGGCCCAAGCCGCTCCCAAGCAGCCCAAGTCAGCCTTCCAACGGCTCTCGAAGCTCCCAGGTGGCCTCCAAAAGACCAAGAGAGGTCCGAGAGGCGTCCCGGGACGGCCCGAAGAGGCCAAAATCGTCGATATTCACTGTTTTGTTCCATGTGTTTGGCTTCTCGCGTTTTCGAGCTTCCCACGGTCCAGGAGCGCCGAAGAGGCTCCCAAGACCGCCCCAAGACCACCCAAGAGATCCTCAGGACGGCCCCAGGACGGGCCAAGAAGGCTCCAAACTGCCGAAGAGGCGCCCAGGACAGCCCCAGACCACAGGCCCAAGATGGGCCCAAGAGCGGGAGCAGAAGGCTTTCGGAGACCGCCGAGAGGCCTCCGGGACCCCCAAGAGGCCCCGAACACACCCCCAATCCCTGAGAGGCCCCAGAAAGACCCCGACGAAGCTCCAAGAACAGCCCAAGAGAGCTGTGAGAGCCGTCCCGAGAGAGCCCAAAGAGGGTCAAATCGTATATTTCCAATGGATGTTCTAATGTTGTTCGCTTTCTCACGTTTTCCCGCTTCCAACCCTCGACGATCTAGGATAAAAATTACCCTGGCGACGTACCCAACCCCTGCGCAAAAGCGGGGCGCAAATAGTTTAGGATACTTTATAAGGGGGCGATGACGGAGCGAGGGTTACATATGTCTGCAGACGGAATTCGGGAGACTCGCAGGACACTGGCTACAGGAAAAGGGCTTGATAAAGCTGATGATTTACAATTCCTGAGCACTCCTAGCCACTTCGAAAACGGGGATCACAGCAGGCCTCGAAAGTGGCGACAGGTTCACAGATCGCAGCCCCGCAGGGATGGCGAGGTCTCATTTGAATCTGCCCGTGGCCCTCACTGTGCTGGGCCCCCCAGCAGGCCTCGAAAATGGCGACAGTTTCGCAGATCGCAGCCCCCCAGGGATGGCGAGGTCTAATTTGAATCCGCGCGTGGCCCTCACTGTGCTGGGCCCCCCAGCAGGCCTCGAAAATGGCGACAGTTTCGCAGATCGCAGCCCCCCAGGGATGGCGAGGTCTAATTTGAATCAGCGCGTGGCCCTCACTGTGCTGGGGCCCCCAGCAGGCCTCGAAAATGGCGACAGTTTCGCAGATCGCAGCCCCCCAGGGATGGCGAGGTCTAATTTGAATCTGCCCGTGGCCCTCACTGTGCTGGGCCCCCCAGCAGGCCTCGAAAATGGCGACAGTTTCGCAGATCGCAGCCCCCCAGGGATGGCGAGGTCTAATTTGAATCGCGCGTGGCCCTCACTGTGCTGGGCCCCCCAGCAGGCCTCGAAAATGGCGACAGTTTCGCAGATCGCAGCCCCCCAGGGATGGCGAGGTCTAATTTGAATCTGCCCGTGGCCCTCACTGTGCTGGGCCCCCCAGCAGGCCTCGAAAATGGCGACAGTTTCGCAGATCGCAGCCCCCCAGGGATGGCGAGGTCTAATTTGAATCTGCGCGTGGCCCTCACTGTGCTGGGCCCCCCAGCAGGCCTCGAAAATGGCGACAGTTTCGCAGATCGCAGCCCCCCAGGGATGGCGAGGTCTAATTTGAATCTGCCGCGGTTACCCTCTATGCAGGACCCCCCAGCAGGCCTCGAAAGTGGCGACAGTTTCACAGATCGCAGCCCCCCAGGGATGGCGAGGTCTAATTTGAATCTGCCGCGGTTACCCTCTATGCAGGACCCCCCAGCAGGCCTCGAAAGTGGCGACAGTTTCACAGATCGCAGCCCCCCAGGGATGGCGAGGTCTAATTTGAATCTGCCGCGGTTACCCTCTATGCAGGACCCCCCAGCAGGCCTCGAAAGTGGCGACAGTTTCACAGATCGCAGCCCCCCAGGGATGGCGAGGTCTAATTTGAATCTGCCGCAATTACCCTTTATGCCGGACCCCCCAGCAGGCCTCGAAAGTGGCGACAGTTTCACAGATCGCAGCCCCCCGCAGGCAAGACAAGAAGAGGCGGGAGGCGGGAGAAGGGAGAAGGGAGAAGGGACGCGACCACACTGCTCTATTCAAAACGAATACCCAACCAAGGAGGGTTGGGAAAAAATGAATTCCCAGAAATTTGTTTTTTTCAAGATGGGACTCCTACTCGGAGATCCCACACATCCCCTGACATCTGGCCGGTACCGCGCCTCCTGGCTTCCCCGGGGGGGCCCCAAGACGCCCAAAGACAGCCCAAGACGACCCCAAGGAGCCCCCAGAACGTAAAGAACGGCCCAACACGCTCCCGCGCCGCCCGAGACACCCTTCCGACGGTTCTCCAGGCCTCCAGAAGGCCTCCAGAACCCCCAGGGGGTCCGGAAGATCCCACACCCCAGAGGGGCCCGGCTAACAAAACCCGCGAGGCACAAACAAAAAACAGCGCCGAACAGCGCCGAGGAACTAGGGCCAGGAAAAAATGGAAATCCCACAAGTCCTTAGTTTTTTCAGTTTGGCCCCCGGTCTACTCTTGCACAACAGACCACAATTCAGACCCCCCTCACCTCCCAAAAAAGAACCCAGGAAGCATTTGAGGGCCCCACATCGTTGAATACCTCAAAGGAAATTAATGATTTCTGCGTTTCCGCACTTCCCCTTCTATACGATTCCGAGGCTTGCGCAGGGCCTCCAAGGGAGTCCCGGGACGAAAGAAGCGATCACAATGAGATTACATGAGTTAGCCTATCAAGCCTAGCTAGAATTTGAGCGCGCGCGAAGCGCGTGATGGTATTAAAGTGTATATATGTGTGTATAAGAATGTGCGCGGCGCTACAGCGAGGACGACATGTTGAAAACCACCAGCCCTCAATACGCGAAACTCTTGCAAAGTGTGAAAACGAATGTGCTCGGTGATAAGGCGAGAGCACCATTTCCCTCCATCTGTGAAACTGTTGCCAATTGGTAAGCTTCAGGGTCATAAATGATGAGGAAGTCTCTGGCGAAACGCCCGGCCCGCCCTCAAAACTGGCCTCGGGGTGCGACAGGGAGAAGTTATTCAGAAAGAAAAAAATGGAGGAGGGGGAGGGGGAGGGGGAGGGGGAGGAGGAGGAGAAGAGAGACGACGACGAGAGAAAGGACAAGCCAGGCCGAGAGACGGAGGGACGGGACAGAGGAACGGGGGGGGCGGGGAGGCGAAGGCAAGCATGGAGAGAAGGATCGAGTAGGAGATCGACTACAGAATCGATGTACCCCAAACTTGATTTGTTCGTCGAATCCACGAGACATGCGTAGAAACTTCGTAGGTCTACGAACATTCCACGCATGACTCGACGAGAGAATCAAGTTGGGGGCAAGTCAATTCTGCAGTCGACCCCCTGCTCGAAGAGAGAGGACACCACACACGAGGGAAAGGAAGCACAGGGGCAAGGAGAAGGACGCGGAGAGGGCGAGGGGAGCGGCCCCTGGGGGGGGGGGGGCCGAAGGCCGGCGACGAGGCGGCGGCACACGGGCCCGGCGGGCAGCGGAGGGCCTTACCAGGGAGATGCCCAGGGCACGGACTCGACACGCCGGGCGACACGTGAGAGGGTAGGCTCAGCTGGATCTCCCTCGGCGGTGGACATACCTCCCTTGAATGAACCTCCCCTTAGTAAAAACGGCCTAGGGCCGAAGCCGACGGAGCTGGACCCGCAAGAATGGCGGCCGCGACGCCCTCTCGCGAAGCGAAAACGGCCAATTGGATGTCTATCAACCTCGAGCTTGCGGCTGTGAGACTGGAAAAGGGCACTGTGCAGATACGATAGGACGTCATCAAGAGCATTGGTTTGCTGCCGCAGCCCGCAGCGCTACAATACACGTGCGCCTATGCTGGTCATGTTTCGAAAGCTGTTTCCAAAATCTATGCGGCTCTGGAGCACGTCGTCCCGCGAGTGCCACCATCTGAATGGCATGTGGAATGTGCGTTGTGAGGACCTCCTTTTCCCACTAACCTCCTTCCCCTCCGCCTCCTCTCTTACTCCTACTCCTCCCCCTTCTCCTCATCCTCCTCACGTTCTGCATCCTCCTCCTCCTCCTTCTCCGCCTCCTCCTCCTCCTCCTCATCGACATCCTCATCCTCATCCCCCTCCCCCCATCTGCTTCTCCCCTTCCTCCTACGCTCTCGGTGCGGGCGCGCGCCACAAGATGCCGCTGGCGCGGAATGCCGTGTACGTCGGCAGGAGCACAAACTGCGGGCGGCGGCACCCCATATCCTTGGGAAGCCCTAGCTCTGCAGGCGCAATGGTCCCCCCCCTTCACGACGTCGCTCGCCCATGTCATTGAATCTCCCTCCCTGCCTAGCCTTCCCCGACCGACACCGCCTGTCTTCCATGAGGCAGACCGCTGACGAAATCAAACCCGATGGGCTCGTGCACGTATGTCACCCAATTTTCGGCCGTCTGATCCGAACACGAACTCTAATCAAAAAATTGGGCAAGAAACCTCCCGAGTTCGAACAGCAAGAGAGAATTGCGAAGGGAAAAACTACATCTCAAGATTGGTATATTCAGCGTTCTAGTGTGAAGCCCCTTCCGCCACCTGTTGCTGCCTGGAACGGAACAAACTGGTGGACAATGAAAACTGCGACTGGAGCTCGCACCATCTTCGATTCCTGTTTTTCAGGGGATTGCAACAATGACAAACCGACCGTCGCTGCCCGTGTCACGACGTAGTAACGCACAACGGGTTACGCCACACCACGTCGCTTGGTCGGAACGCATTCAAAAAGAATACACGTAAAGATGTACACGTATCGAATACCTCAGGACACTGTAGAACGACTACTGATGGGGCAGCGGGGGTCGTCTCGCAGCTCGGCCAATGTGTAAATTCTTGTCTGCCACTGGACCCTCGGTCCTGACCGCACCATTCATTCATTCTGCACTGGCCGAGAAACACTTCACCGCTCTCTGTGCCGTCCTGCATGTAGCATCCGCGGCGCCAATTATGCGCAGCGCCGCCAGCGCCACCTCCAGGATCACCGACCTGACCCTCGATGCTCCAGGCTGTCGGAACACGCAGCGGCGCATCTTCGAAGGGAAGCCAGCACACGAACCCCCGAAGACACAACACGCGAGACGATAACAACAGAAAAAGCACCGCCCCATCCCACATACGAGGAACAGAACCCGAGCGGCACAGCGCCACCTCGTCCACCGAGCGGCGGCGTCGCCTGCTCAGCACAAGCACATTGCAGCCGCCAACTCGCCAATGTGGCCGCCCCGCTGGTGCTCTCACTGCGCTGCACGACGCCGTCCGCCACCGTGCCGACGGTGTTTTGGGGCGTGTCAAAAAGCCTGCCAGGTGACACTCGGGGCTTGGTCTGGGCATCCCCGCTCAACCATGTGATCCAACCTCACACCCTCCCTCCTCATCCTCGCCTCATTGTCACACGTACCCACACCCTTCCTCCTCACCTCTCACCTCTCGCCTCTCATCCTCATCCTCAATGCCACTCCAACCCTCAGACCATCCTCGAGCGGAAGCCAAGCTTGTCCGCAAACTGCCAGAAATTGCTTAACTCTAGTTGCTCTCCCAAAATGGTGATTCGAACAATGTCTAAGGTTTGGTCAAAATCAGGAGTGGGCAGTGCCAGGATAATTATGTGGACGCCTGGGGTGGTCACCGCACTCATGACTGGTCCTGGTGGTAGCGACGGCGACGGAGATCTCAGGGCTGCCCGGCTCCCGATTCCACCCCTGGGGAAGGCAGGAACGATCGCGATACAGTGCGCCACGAAAATGTATACACAGACACCCTCCAATGGATTGTTCCTGGGCCTCAGGGGTGGGTGGCGGTGCATGAATCACCACTGAGAGCCAGCGACTTTATGCACCGCCGCCCTCCCTGAAGGCACATGCTCCCTGAACGCACGGCGGATACAGTGAGCCTGGAAAATGTCGAGTCTGCTATGAACCCCTGACCCCTGAAGCTTGCGCCCACCCCTTGTTCCCTTCTGCATGGTCTGTTCTCCCATGCTGGAAGCGCGCACTGGCCCCGCAAGATTAAAGGCAGGGGGCCACCTCGATCCACGGGAGCAGGCGTGGCTGGGACTGGAGTGACCGGCCAGGGCCAGCAGGAGCAAGACCGCATTGGCACACGCCAGCTGCTGCCGCCGAGTTAGCACGTGGGAAGCCAAGGGCCCCGAACTTCGCGCTTCGCGCTGCGCGAAGCGCGAATGACTTCGCGCCCTCGCGCCGCCCCCCCCAAAGGGAGGAAAGGAGGACGAGGAGGAGGGGGAAAAGGAACGAGGACCGCGAAGCGCGAAGCGCGAATCACTTCGCGCCCTCGTGGGAACGAGGCCCGCGAGGCGCGAAGCGCGAAAAACTTCGCGCCCCCGCGGGAGCCCTTGGAGGCGGGTCCACGAGAGGGAAAAACGGGCCCTGGGCCGCGGGGCCCTCCCCCGGGGACCGCCTGCCCCCCCCCCCGAGCCGTTCCCTCTGCGCCCCGGGGCCTGTGGAGGGCCCCGGTCCAGTCGGAAGCCGTGCCATCAACGAGACGCGCTGGCAAAAGCATCCCGATCACTCTTGGACCCGTGCTCGGTGGTGCACCTGCCACCAGTTGTACAAGCCCTCTGGGTCACGACGGCGCGCGGCGGAAAAACGGGGCGCGCACCGCGACCGTGAGGCACAAAAGCAAGTGCAGGGGCCCCAGGACGCCGAAAGTGGAGGAGGACCTCACGGCCCGTTTCCCTCGAGACCCCTTCTGCGAGTGCGAGAACGGCGCCTGTGCACCGTGGCATGCCTGGATTCCCCTCGGGCCCCGCTCCAACGCAGCACGGTGCACGGTGTCTCGCTCGGCACTGAGGTGCCCCCGCATCACCGTGCACCGCACCACTCCTGGGTCGAGGATCGACGCCGCCGCAGGAGACGCCAACGCGGCACGGTGCACAGGAGTCGGCCGCGGGCGCTTCCCCCATGGCGACCAGCACCCATCGGTCGGAAGAAGTAGGTAAAAACATGAAGTAGGAAGGCGTTGAAAGCAAATTGGGTGTCCGCCCGCCCCCTAAAGAGGACGGAAACGGTGAAGCCACTCGATGATTGCGGTAGGAAGGCGCCCAAAGTAGATTGGAATCTGGGAATCCAGAGATACCTCCTTTCAACGACCGATGGGAATGGATGGCCAGGGAGCTGGCCAGGGCTGGAAAGGAAGCCCAGCTCAACTGTAGGTCCACCGCTGGCCCAGCCCGCTCCAAAGGCGGCCCGCGGGGCCGCGAGCGCGGCGGCCCAGTGCGAAGGGCGGGCGCGCCACAAAGTCGGCCGTGGAGCCGGCCACAAACAGGGTGTTGAAACTGTTGCCGAACGTGTCGAGGCCGACGTTGATCTGGTGCCAGCGCACCCGCCCGAAGACGAAGCCAGGACGAGAACAACATCGTGTGAAGGTAGATCGAGAATCGCTGAGATCCCGCGGCTCTGGAGGATGTGTCGGGCGCCGCGGCCTTCTCAGAGCGGTCTGGAACGCTCTGTTAGCGTTCTGGAGTGCTCTGCAACGGATTTGTCCTCGTCCCGGCCCCCTCCGACGCCCCCCCGCAGACCGGCCCCCGAGGATCAGTGCAGGGGCGCCGGGCCTCGCAGAACACTGCAGCCGCCCCTCCTCCCCGGACACCTGACGGCTCGACTCCTTCGAGCCGGGCGCCCAGATCTCTCGACCCCTGCCGCTTCAGGAGCCGTCCTTGATATCCGCGGGGCCCAAAACTAAAGGTGCCCTGGGACACACAAATAAAGACACAAATAAAAAGATTCCCCATGTTTTCCCATATTTTCTGGGTTGTTGTCCTCCCCCTCCCCCTCCCCATAATTTCCCCCATTTTCTGGGAATCGACGATTCATTGTGTCTGTGTGTTTCTTCCCCTCCTGCAAAACTGGCCCCTGGGCCGCTCCGGAGGCCCAGCACGGAGAAGAGCAGCGGCACCGCTCTTGCTCGAGCTGCCGGGTCGTCCGGGTCCCCTCGCCCGGCACCCCAGCAGAGGGGCAAAGCCGCCCGAGGCTGTCTGCTTTGAAGGGGCCCCAGGACACACAAAGAAATACACGCAAATAAGAATACTCCCCAGATTTTCCCACATCTTCGGGGTTTTGTCTTTCCCCCCACTCACCATAGTTTCCCATATTCTCCTGAGGATCGACGATTCCTTGTGTCTGTGTGTTTTTTTTGTCCCCTCCCGGTGCTTGCCGAGCGCACCAGCCCCGGGCGCGAGAGGGCAGAGGGCGCGCGGGCGGCGCTCTCGAGAGGGGGGGGATGCCACATCGCGAGGCGCGGGCACGGCCAAAAATCCTAACAAGGACGCGCGGCAGGGACGCAGAGGAGGAGGAGGAGGAGGAGGAGGAGGAGGAGGAGGAGGAGGAGGAGGAGGAGGAGGAGTCGTGAGCGAAGAGGGACGAAGAGCCAACAGGAGGAGGAGGAAGAGGAGGGTTGAGGAGGAAAACGGGGAATGAGGAGGAGGAGGAGGAGGAGGAGGAGGAGGAGGACCCTTGGAAGCCGAAGTTGGGATTCTTGGGGCGGCGGACGACGAAAACCCCAAGGGCGCAAGAGCCAGGAAGAGCAAGGACGCAGGGGTACCCTGAGCAAAGCCGCGCGTCCTCACTGGGTTTTTTGACTGTGGGAGAGGCCTCCCTCGTGCGGGCCGTCCCTCCTCGCCTGGGGATCCCACAGCCCTGGGGTGACGGGCCCGGCGGCGACCTCGAAGCCCGCCGAGACCTCGCCCCGGGGTCCGTCACCGCACGGCTTCGGGGCCTCGGAGGCCCCCCGTCGCCCGAGGCCTCCTCCGAGCACGACCAAAGTCCCAGAGCCGCGCAGCGACCCCGAATCCCCACCGACTACAGGAAACCCGCACAGCGCGGCTGAGCGACTTGCCAAGGTCACCCCTGCATCTTTCCCCTCCGGCCCATCCGCTTTGGACGTCCGAATTGGGTACTGAAAAAATGGGTGCAATGCCCAACCACAAATGTTGTCTCAAACCAACAGCGGCCGCGGTTGGGCAGGCGGCCTCCTGTCTCGAATGGACACAGGCCGCGGCGGCGTGGACAGCGAGTCCTGCTCAGAATGAGCAGGAACTGCTGCTGGGCACTGTACCCACTCTCTCCGCACCCAGCTCGCTCGTGCAGATCCCTGGCCGCTTCCTCTGGCCGCGCCCCGCCCGCGGAGGGCCGGCACGGCCCTCCAAGGCCCCATCTGCACCCTCGCCGCGAATCCTCACTCTGCGGGTCGACTGCACACCGTGTAGCCACCACACCGCTCGGGTGGCCCCCGGCTCCCGCTGTGGCCGCCGGCGGCCCCGCGGGCTCTCGGGGCCCGCGCCGGGCCGTGGGGGCCGCCCAAAAAAGGCATCGGCGCGGGCTGCAGGGCCGGCCCCCCCCAGGAGGGCCTCGAGAAGCCTCGGGGCCCACGAGGGATCGAGTTTTTGTCGGGAGCCCACGACGCGGGTCCCCTCCCCCTCCACAATTACACAATATGAAAATACTCTCCCACTTCCCCTGATGGCGTCCGGAAGATATTCGGCACCCCCCCGCGTACTGTTTTTTTACACACAGGATTCCCCGGAGTTGGGTTTTCGCTTGTGTTTTTTTCAAAAATGCTGCTCTCGCTGAGGCGCCGGCCTCATTTCTGCTCCCGAATCGTTCCGAATCGTGCTCCCGCTGCAGCGTGGGCCTCATTTTCGGATCGGTGTTTGGCCTCCGTCGTTCAGGATGGCGTTCTCGCCCCAGCGCGGGCCTCTTTCTCGCGCGCCCATCCGCCCGCCACCACCGCGCCGCACCACCACCACCACCCACCCCAGCACCACAGCACCAGCACCACCACCACCACCACCACCACCACCACCACCACCACCACCACCACCACCACCACCACCACACCACCACCACCACCACCACCACCACCACACAACCACGCACACACGCACGCACGCACGCACGCGCACCACCACCCACTACGCACGCGCGCGCGGAGCCACAGGTCCGCTACGACACGCGTCCGCGGATAGAGAAAATCAGCGCCATGGTAAGGGATGGGAGGGAGGGGTAGGACGTCAGATATGACGCGAGCGCACCTAGCTTGCCTCCCCCCCTCCCCCTCCCCCTCCCCCTCCCCCTCCCCCTCCCCTCCCCTCCCCCCGGAGAGCCGACGCTCTAAGAACCTGGGGCGAGCGGCTTTGGGGCCGTGGTCGGCCTCTGGTGGCCCTCGCCGAGCCTCGGGAGCATCGAGCAACGACTCGGGACGAGAAACCGGCCAAGGGGAATTGAAGGGGCCCCAGAACACACCAAGAAATACACACAAATAAAAAGATCCCCCTATAGTTTCCCATATTTTCTGGGCTGTTGTCCTCCCGCCCAATTCCCATATTTTCCCTTATTTTCTTGGGAATCGGCGATTAATTGTGTCTGTGTGTTTTTTTCCCCTCCTGAGGGAAGTGGTCTGGGCTGGGACGCACAGAGACATACTGATACTGTACGTCCGCCTTGGAGGCCCGCGTCCGACCCAAACACACAGTATACCATCTTGTAGTACATCGTGTCCCGAGCGGTGTGGCCAGAAAGCGCCCGACACGACGCATGTACTAGAAGACTTCTCGGTGCGCGCGTCGCCCCGGGGGGGGCGACGAACACATAGTATAAGAATTTGTTGGGGGGACGCCGATGGACCTCCAAGGCACACGCATCGAACAGATTTGAGCAGCCGGATTCGGGGATGGACAGACCTCCCTTTAGTAAAACGTCGTTTAGTGAAAACGACCTGAGGCCCAAACCTGGCGAGCGCAAGCCTGGAAAATAACGGCCGCGCCGCCCTCTCGAGAACCAAAAACGGACAATTCACTAATCGACGTGTCACTGTTGGGGGGTCTGTCCACACCCGACGGATGTATGGGCCCTCCGCTTTTCACTCGGAACCTCTCGCATCGGAGGCTTCCTTTCTGACATCGGCGTCGACCGCTTGCAGAGGCACAGTGCGGTGCCGGCCACGGTGCCGCTGCCGCAGTCTGCCGCCGCTCGGCAGGGACAGGGCGAGAGCTGCAGACCCACGGTCGTGTCTTTATCTTAGGTCGGGCACGTCCTCCTGCGGGCGGATTCTGGACAACAAGTAAGAAGCAGTCAAAAAACACCCCAATGTTCAAAGATTGTAGAAACATCGTCCCCATACTCTTGTTTGACTACTGTCGGATACTCCTCCTGTAGAGGGACGGGCCCGACGTAAGTCTTATCTTATCCCCTCCTCTCCTGCCCTCCCTCGCTCTGAGCCCCTCCGCCCTCCAGGATTCCCCTCGCCGTCCACTGGCGCAGACGGGTCTCTGGAGAGGGGCAGAGCATGGCAGAAACCCAGGCACGCGACCAAATCACTGACGATCTCCCCTCCTGTCGATCCACCTCCTCCAGCAATCGCCCGCGCAAAATCAGCAGAAGATGCGGCGCAAGAGTAAAACACTGAGGAAGAAATAAGCAATGACTGCTTGACGATACACTTGGTGAGCGGCCGTGTCACGACTCCTGCAATGCTGGCTGACGGGCGCCCCTTCTAAACCAGCCCTGCCCAACTCCGCGGGCAAAACCCGTCTCCCGGGGCGGCGCACCAGAGGAGTCTTCTCCCCCGACCAGCCCTGCACCTGCGCGCCAGGAGAAACGGCAGGGGAAAGGCGGAGAAGAGGACGGGAGGAATGGGCCCATCCCCCCCTGCCCCATCTCCCATGTTCCCCCGTTCCCCCCTTCTCGTTCTGAGCGGTTCCCCTCCTCCCTCGCTGGCCTTGCCCCCCCCCCTCTCCTAATCCCCCCCTTGTCCATTAATATGATTCTCCCTCCCCGTTCCGCTGCTCCACCCTCCGTGTTCCCCCTTCCCGGTTCTCTCCTCTCTTCTCCCTCCTCTGTCCTCCTCCCTCCTCCCTCCCTCCTCCCTCCAACCGCCTGCCCCCTCCTTCTCGTCCGCCCTCGTCCTCCTCTTAGCCTCACCTCCTTTTATCCTAGAGCCCCAAGAGTGCCTCAAGAGGGCCCCAAGAGGCCCACAAAGCATTCCCAAACCGGCCAAAAGGCCTCCAAGACGTCCCAAAACGACCCAAAAGGGCCCCAAGACGGCCCAAGATGGCCTCAAAAGGGCCCCCAAACCAATCCAGAGACGCCAAATCTCCTCATCCTCATCCACCCCTCTTCCGCCTCCCGTTGTTCGGACGGCAATGTGTCGATGGATGCGTCATGGGTCTGCTTTTGGTGATGTCTGTCCTCCTACTCCTGCCTGCCCGTTGCCTTCTTCCTCCCTCATCCATCATCACGCACTGCTCATATACATTGTATATACAAACTGAAATAGCGCAACCCCAACCCGACACAATACAACCGAAGGCAACGACATACACATAGAGATCAAAGGCATCCACAAAGAATCACCACACACGTAGCCGTTATGTAGCACAACTCGCGGCCACGATTATCAAACGCGCACGTCATAATATGGGTACACCACGAGCCGAAATTTACACCATCGGAAATACGTGTGAAACGCAACCACGTGGCTGGCCACACACTCGCCCCAACTAAGCTTGTCTAGTGGATTCTTACGTGTGTTCGAACACCCGGCGGGAAATGGGATTGCGCTAACTGGCCCTCCCCAGGTTCCCTGGGTTCCTCTGGCGTTGTTTCCTGACCGTTCCCCTACTACGCTCGCCGAAGGAATTCTCACCGTTCCCCAACTACGCCCGCCAAGAACTGGAGGGAGATAGGCATGCGCAAGCCAGCGTTCGGGATACCCATCTGTTGGGGGTTGTCCTTCCTGACTGTTTTTGAACGGCCAGGTGCCCTTGAGTCCCCCAAGCTCCCGGAAGCAACACGCGGATGGGGGCCCCGATGGGGCTCTGGCAGCTTCCGCGGTGGCGTGACACTGATACCCTTCCTCCCCCCCGAGAGTACAGAGGAATAGAGAACGGCACAAACCTACACTCTCGCAAGTCCGCGCGGATCTCTTGAGTCCGCGCTGGGCCGGCTGCCCATCCCGCGCCGCCTCTTGACGGGATCCCGGGCTCCGGCGAGGGTCCCCTCGGAGGCCGACAAGAGCGAGAAGCCTCCCGTCGTGTTGTTTTCCGGGATGGACAGACCTCCCTTTAGTAAAACGTGGTTTAGTGAAAACGACCTGGGGCCCAAACCTGGCGGGCGCAAGCCTGGAAAATAACGGCCACGGCGCCCTCTCGAGAACCGAAAACGGACAATTCACTAATCGACGTGTCACTGTTGGGGGTTCTGTCCACCCCCGATTTTTGTCACGGCCCGAGGGGGTCCAGGGTGCGTGCACGCCGCGCGGAGCGCCAAAAACGTTTCTGTTCACGGCGTCTCGTCTTCTTCGAGAGCAGCCCCTGGAACGCACGCAGTGACAGTCCCCCTGGTCGGGGGGAGCGCGGCCCGTGCTGGACCCCGCCGGGGCAGGGGGGCGGGCGGAGGGGGGGAGGGAGCGGAGAGGGGGCACGCGGAGGAGGGAGCGCCTCGCCCTCGGCGCTCGCGAACAGCTCCACGGCGATCCAGGAGAAGAGGAGCAGGGAGCCCACGTAGAACGCCATGATCTCGGTACCATGGAGGCCCGTGCCAAGGAACACCCTGCTTGCCTCCGGGGTGCCCTGGGGTCTCAGGATTGCACTTCTGGTGGAAGGTTTCTTGTGAACGGGCCTCCACAGTACCGCGGGTTTCGTGCCGTGCCGACCCTGGCGCTGGTTCCTGACACAACGGGGATCGTCCAAGTTGGATGGAGATCGCCTCCAGCATGCCTCCAAAAGCCTGAAGGCCGCCTCAAGACGGGCCGAGGTGGCCACGGACCCACCAGTGCCAGTCGCCAAAGTCGGAAGAACTGAAAGTGGGATGTTGTACGGCAGCTTCGCGTCGTGCCGACTTCGGCGCTGGTTTCTGACACCAAGGGGACCGTTCAACCTGGAACGATCGGCCGCTTCCGGAACGAAAGATCAGTCAGCATCGATCGATTCTGGGTCGCCGGCGGCGTCCCACTTGGAACGCCCGAGGCGGGACCGCCGCCGGTCGACACGACGCGAGCCTGTCGTAAGTTTAGGTCGGGCATGTCCTCCTACAGGCGGATTCTGGAGGAGCCCCAAAAAACAATCAACAGATATTCAAGCATCGTCAGAAGAGCACCAAAAACCGTCCACAGACCATCGTTTAACCATTCTCGGAGACTCCTCCTGTAGAGAGAGTCATGCCCGACTTAACCGTGAGTGCACTAGGCGGCGGGAGTCCTAGCGCAGCTGAGCTGGGGGAGCAGGAGCAGGCGGAGACGGTCGAGTCGCCGGTGCAGGACGGGCCAGGAAGAGGACCTGACGCGGACGTTCAGTCAACCGAGCGAGGGAAGGGGAAAACGGACGAGGGAAAGGGGAGGAGGAGGGGGAGGAGGAGGAGGAGGGGGAGGAGGATGAGGAGGAGGAGGAGGAGGCGGAGGAGGAGGAGGAGGAGGAGGGGGAGGAGGAGGATCATAAGGATACACGATAAGGATGCAAGGGCCTCGGATGCCCATTTCGAAGCTTGTCGAGCGGGGCGCGGCCAACGAAAGCGGTGAAGGGTGGTACGAGGAGGCAAGGATGCAAGGGCAGCCTTGGGAAGGTTGCCCATCCTTACATGCGGGTGGACTGTTCAAGACGGGCCGGGAAGAGGACCTGACTCGGACGTAACTCTGTGGGAGAGCGGCCAAGCTCGCTGCCCGTCCCCCGCGCCAGGGCAAGAGGCGCTGCACCATAGCATAGGGGTCGGCGTTCCTCGCTGGCAGGCTTGCTGGACTGCCGAGTAGGTGCGGGGGGCTGACTGTCGTGTCCTGCATTGCCCCGCTGCGGGGAATCTCTCGTCTTGAATGGGACGAAGGAATAGGCTCGGTCGATCTCTGGCCATCTCTCCAGTCCTCCGCACCATGCACTAGTGCGCTAACAGTGCCGAGGCACTGGCTGTGACCACCTCGCCAAGGATCTTGAATATGCACCTCCCCACAAACCGCCCATGCCTCCTCTCTTCATTTTGCATCCACCCTCCCGTCGTTCACTGCCTGTGGCCCGCAGAAAGCGAAGATATGGTTCGACACCCCAGAAGAGACCGCATCGGGGTCGGCGGACCACCATGCATATACGAGTAAACACGGAGCATGCAACAGTCGATGATCCTCAGAACGCGTGTCAGCGCTAACGTGTGCTTGTTACACGAAGCCCCTCAATACGACGCAGGCGGTGTAATGAGGGCCGGCACAAGTCGCGTGCGATCGGTGGAGCTGAGTGCGATGATCAAACAGTGAGCCAGCACGTGTCCCAATGATCATCGAAGCAGACAGTAGCCTTCGTTCAACATGGCGCAGGAGCGGAGGGAGGCGGACATCCCAGCGACGAAGCAATGCCGTGGGGTAAACAGGCGCTGCTGCATTCATATCTCCACAAGCGCGCACAATAATCAATGAGTGCTGCGACCAGAGGCTGTCAAAATCAACCAGGGAAGAGGGTAAGAGAGGAGAGGAAGCGGGGAAAGAAAAGGAGGACGGAGGGGGGAAGAGGAAAACGTGTGCCAAATCTCGGCAAGACCAAGAACCACCCTGCGGACCAAAACTGGGGCGCCGTTGTTGCATCCACGCGAAACCATACCATAAGCGTGTCGGCGCCAATCGGCTCGCGTCCAAAGCGTGACTCACATGCATCTATCTGGGGACTGCCACCGTGGATGCGCCCGTTTGCAGCAGCACTTCGGATTAGTAGGATGCTCAGCGGCTCGCCTGGATCTACACGCATACCCTCCTCCCGCTGGCCCCTCCCTTCCTGAAAAGGCTCAACAGCTGGGGCATCATGCAGAACAGCCCAGTTCTCGCCACGAAGGCGATCCGAAATCTGGCGCATGCAACAGTCAGCGTAGGGCACGACGAAGAGGAGCAGTGAGCCTACTCAAGGAGGCATACGGGCCACGGTCACGGTTGCCACTAACAAGTGCGAACATCCCACGGGGAAGGGCTCAACAAGGTATTCTCACGATGTGGGAAGGGCCTCTGCCAGTGGAAACCTGACAGCTGCAACTTCCCGATACAGGTGGTCAGAAAGCCAACAGCCAACTGCGCCACCTGGCCAAACTCCTCATTCGCTAGCCTACATGTTTTCCGTTTTCAATACCTGGCTGTTCGCGGGCACTTGCAACCATGAAACTGCGCACATGCAGAAGACATAGCGTCAAGAGCTCGTCAGATGTTCAGTACCCGTGAGAGCTACACATAACCTGAGCGCTTGCCTTCTGCGGCTGCAGTTCCGACCAGGAAATCAAGAGCATAAGCAACCATGGCAGCAGCAGGAGCGTAATGAGGTCAAGGATGAACAGCAGAATGAGCCATATAAATAGATAGTGAAGATACAAGAGAAACGCGATGACGACGACGGTGGCGCCGACGACGACGACGACCATCACGACGACGAGAGGCAGCAACGAGTTGAAAATAAGCAACATACACACCGCAGGCGTCACAAGTCATCCAAGCCAAGGAACAAGGAAGACAAAAGAGCATCTCAGTGGGGCAGCTCGCACGATTACTAATCCGGTCTCTTACATGATATGTAGGTTCTGTTGCCGTCGCCCAGTCCGCCTGGATTTCAACACTGATGCGGGCCACTGCTCTCGCCTTCAGACCAGACAGTCGAGAGTCGACAGCCACGGCCACCGAGCACTGAGCGCATTCCAGCTCCTGGAATGGCTGTTTCGGAAGCGTTCGACACCATAACGGCCCAGTGAACAACTGCTGAGACTACAGAGCGCAGCCGTCGAGCCATCAAAGTGCACCACGATTCGAAATGAGACCAAAGAGGCGGGACGGCATGCTCGATCTCAACGCGAAAGGCCAAGAGGAGCAGGTGGCAGGGAGCCATGAACAAAATAAGCAACGAGATATTGCGCAGAAAAGCGGACACACGTGAGAGGTGACGCCTCGGCCGGAAAAGCACGAATACGATGCAGTCCTCGGCAAAGCAGGAGAGAGGTACCACGTGTCACTCTCGAACTTTGAAACTGACTCTCTTCCCAATTCGTGCTCATCGCACCTAATGCGAGCTCAGTGCGACCACGATCCCCATCCTCATCCTCAGAATTGCAGCCATCACCATAGTCGTCACCGCTACCCACACTAGCAGCACTCATATTCGTGCTGAAATTACAACGTCCCTGTCCTGCCAAGTGTCGCACTTCCATCGTCCATGTCACCCTGCGGTAGAGACTCTCCCCACACCCAGAACTCCCAGCCCAACGACCCTGTTTCGGACTCTTCTCCAGTCATGTCTGCCGCACAGTCTGGATGCTCAAAACCCCGCCGCCCTGTCATACCAGTAAATCCCAGCACGTGTTATTTGACTCGGCACGGATATCGTGGAGGTGCCGCTGCCACAAGTGGGTGAAGAAAAGGTGAACGTGCCTAGCGACACCGCGGTCCGGGAACTCGGGATGAGCCTGCCCTTCGCGATCCAGGCCAACCCCATAGCAGCGCCGACCCGAGAGCCGCGGCGCGGGGGAGCGAAGAGAAGCAAGGGGCGGCGAGGTCGTCTCACCTCGGCCAGCCTTTGCTGACCCATCGGCAAGACGCGCTCGGCCACGACCTTGTTCATCGGTGCGTCGACGGAGGCCGTCTGATAGTTCGCTCCAGGCCTCCCCCGGGGACGTCTCGCAGCCCGCCCGAGGATGCGGCCGCGTACTTGCGCCAGCTTGGGTGTCCAGCGAGTGTTGCCAATCATCGGGGGAAAACAAACCTACCTCGCTTTTGACCACCCTCGCTTCCAAGAGATACCGAACAATGCCAAATTGCGGCCTGTGATGGTCAGGCCGCTTGACGAGGAGGCGCGTGGTATGGCTTGGTTTTGCCTGGAAGCGAAAGCGGGGGAGGTAATTCACGCTCTGAAATCATGTTTGCGGCGTTCTGAAAACAAGGTGTACGTTCGAGAGGAGCGGGGAGGACCCCAAGGCAACCGCTTTGCCAAACAACCTCTGTAATTAATAGCACGCGGGCACCCTTGCCGCAGACCCGGGCGCCCTGCGAACGCGGCGGGGCACCAGCCAGGCCTGCCGCTTCGGCGCCGTCGTCTCCGAGGCCCTCTCCAGCCTCGCGCCACGGCGAGGTCACGACAGACCTCAGGAGCCAGCTCTGCCGAGATCTCGACAGCGCGCCGTGGGCTTCCGGAGCCGATGGGGGGCCCGGATTGGCACTGAATGACATCACGCCCGTCCGTGTGACGGCACTAGTGTAGATGACGAGCCCACCGCGACTGAGCAGGAGGCCGGCGCACCGGTGTGCCTTGACACTCTTGCCGTGGCCCTCGCCCACCACGGCACTCCGATCAACTGGGCGCCCAGCGCGGCAGAACCTCTATGCTCGAACGCTTCTCCCGAAGGGGCCCTTGGGCGCAGGCAGTGCGATGCTGGATGGTGGACCGGGACTCCTTTGACCTTTGACACGACGCCGCTGGACACAAGCGGGACAACGAAGGACACAGCATTTTGCAAACACGCTGGCGTGTCTTCCCAACCTGCAGATGCACCACCAGGCTTGCAGCGGGTAATGTGTGACGTCCTCGTTTCTGTTCATGTAGTTTCGCTTCTGACAAGACGAGCAACTATGACCGAGACTCCTCGAGCCCAACTCGAGCCCACTTTGTGTATGAAATTCTTACGCTTAGGCGTCACGTGCAAAAAAAAGGCCGATCCAAAAATTACCAGCGACGCGCTCCTTGGCAACTTCAATCCCACCTGGACCCCCGCCCTCCCCCCTGGCGCCGCAAAAACTCGCGCGTGAGCGTCGACGTACGCATCGTGCTCTTCAAGGTGCAGGTCGGGCCCCGCCTTCTGCAAGAAGTTGGGAGCTGGCACGCATGCCCGCGTACTGCTTTGCACCAGGTTGCCAGATTGCTGATGACGGCCGCGCGTCGCCTCACAGGTCAATCACGAAAGAAGTTCGCAATTGTCACAGGATGGCTCTCGAGAATTTGGCGAGCAAGCGTCGCAGCAAACACGCTGCAGTCCCGATCGACGCTCCTATGGCCCGAGCTGCTGGCACTGGTGCGGCAGCGCCCGTGCTGCTGCCCACGCTGCTGCCCACGACGCCGCCCCCCCCTCCCCCCGGGGCAGGCCGCCTGCCCAAGGGGAGGGCGCTGTAACGCGCCAGGCGTCAGACAGGCCAGGATCCCCAGAAAAATCAGAACGGTTTCCAGAAACTGCCCAAAAGAATCCCCAAAGTACGTCCAACGAATTCCTGGGGAAGTTCTGGAAGAGTTCCGGCCCCCGGAAAGTATTTCCAAGGTATTTCCTGGAAAGCATGTGCAAAGTATGTGCAGCATAATATTTGTAAAGTATGCCCAACGCATTTCCAGAGCATTTCCAAAATATTTCATAAGTATGTCCCAAATGATTCTGGAGAGCTTCTGGAATATTTCCCGTCCCCAGAGAATTCCCAGCACATCTCCGACCCCCGGGAAGTATTTCCAAAAGTATTTCAGGAAAATGTCAGGAAACTGTCCAGCCCCATGAAAAAAATATCTAAGAAGTATTTCTGGAGAATTTCTGGTTCCAAAGCATGTCAGGAGAATTTCCAAAACCTCCTTCCCATGAAAACATATCCGAAGCATTTCCAGAAAATATCCTGAAACTGTGAAGCACCTTCTTGAAATATGTCTGGAGAAGTTCGGGAACATTTCCGGGGCAATCCTTTGGGAAACAGTTCGGAAACTCTTCCTTGATCATTCCTGCAACACCGCCCGTCTGATTCCGGCGGGCTATATTCGGCGGTGGACAAACCTCCCTTTAGTAAACCTCCCTTTAGTGAAAACGGCCTGGGACCGAAACCGACGGACCTGGACCCGCAAAAATGACGGCCGCGACGCCCTCCCGCGAACCGAAAACGGCCGATTCACTAATCGACGTGTCAGGGTAGGTCTGCCCATCCCCGATATATAGAAGGAGAGCGGCCCCCGCAAGGGACCGCCAGCCAACCGGCAAGACTCGTCGCTCTCTGCGCCGGGCCGGCTGGACACCGCACGCCGGCACGTCGGCTCCCGGAGCAGGGCGTGGCTCTCGGCACGCCCGCGGGGTGCTCCATGGGACAGCACTTGCCGCACCACGCCCGGCGGGCGCGGCTCGGCGCGCGAGCTGCGCCCGCCAAGCCGCGCCCGCACCGTCGGCACGAGGAAGGGCTCCGGAAGCTAGGTGATAAGTGCGCACGGGCAGCGCAGGGTGCCTGGGAGATGCGTCGAGAGATAGGGTTCGCCTTGCCTGCGACAAGTCCGCCATCACTGCTCATGTCCGTCATTGCCGGCGTGAGTCTGCTTGCCCTCATATACATCATCAGCGCCCGATCCCCACGTGCTCGCTCACGCCACACGTGGTTGCGAATTTGTCAGAACTCCCAACACCTTCTGTTCCATATTAAAACCTCTGCCGTCTGCATAACATCCAGCGATGCTGCCGCGTCGCCGCTGGCACATCTCTCACGGCGTTTCCCCACTCACACTCACAGATTGCCACAGCATCATGTCGCGATTCGCCCACAATCATAACTCATGACGCTGCTGTCGTTTAGCATATCGCCGTTAGGAATGCTATGTAGTGACCCTGTCTCGTCACCTGGCGTCAACATTACTGCAGTGACCCCACTTGCCCATACGCCTGCAGTGTGTCACCACGCACTGCCCGAATTAGTGCCTATCGAGGACGCTCGGTTGACTCTCACGCTTGAGTCAGCGCGACCCGTCTGGCAACAAAAATGGAACACGGCGCGAGGACAATCAGTCCCTCGCGCTGGTCAGACGGTGTGCCAACATCACCATACGTTCAATGCTACTTGCGTGCACTCTGAGACTCTAGCTGGCAGACGAACTCAATGTCCAGCTCGAGGACAGAAAGCAGCAGCAATTGTCAGCTCGAGTATGGAGCACAGAGGCGAAGAGAGAACAGTCCGCCAACTCCAGCGCCACCATGACCAAGCCTTGGACAGAGTAGCGAGTGGAACAAATGGTTGGCGAAATCCAAACACACACACACTGGCACACCACAACTCCCACACCAGAAGCCGTAAGCTGCAATGAGGCATGAGCACGACTGGCACGCAGCAATACTCTGATCCACCTGACTTCAGTGCGTACGCAAATCATGTCATCATGTTTCCCGGATATACTGTTTCCTCGTCACACTCCCCTCACTCCGTTCCCCTCGCCCGGTCTAGGCCACAGTGCTGCAAGTGGCCGAGGCGTCTGGTGCACGACAGGTTCGCAACCCTGCCACGCCCTCCTCCGTGTGTTTCACGCTCTAGCGTGATCCCAGACTGTCCCAAGAAGGCCGATTATATCACAAAATGCTCGAGCTAGAAGCAGAACGCTGCCTCCAGCATGGCCCCAGAGGGCTTGGAGCATTCCTCTCGTGGGCAGCCAAGCGGACTGCCCGACACCCTACACTCTCTCTCTCTCTCTCTCTCTTTGTGTTTTTGTTTCTCTCGCCCTCTCTCTCTCTCTCACTCTCTCCCTCTCTCTCTCTCTCTCTCTCTCTCTCTCTCTCTCTCTCTATCTATATATATACACCTATACGACCACCCTGCGGGTGATAAGGAGGTGAGGGGGGAGGGGGAACCAACGTCTCACTCAATCGATCTCGCTATCGATCTCACAATCGATCTCACATTCGATCTCACTATCGATATCACTATCGATCTCGCTATCTCGATCTCACTATCGATCTCACAATCGATCTCACAATCGATCTCACATTCGGTCTCACATTCGGTCTCACTGTCGATCTCACTATCGATCTCACAATCGATCTCACAGTCGATCTCACATTCGGTCTCACATTCGGTCTCACTATCGATCTCACTATCGATCTCACAATCGATCTCACAGTCGATCTCACATTCGATCTCACATTCGATCTCACTATCGATCTCGACGAGCAACATCGTCATCATCAACATCATCATCATCATCAGCATCATCATCATCATCATCATCATCATCATCATCATCATCATCATCATCATCATCATCATCATTATCAGCATCGAGACGCCATCATCATCACCATCATCATCATCATCATCATCATCATCACCATCATAGTCATCATCATCGGGAAACCATAATCAGCATCAACATCATCATCTACACCATCATCATCGGGACACCATCACATCATCATCTCATCATCATCCTCAGCATCGTCATCATCATCATCATCATCAACATCATCATCATCAGCATCATCATCATCATCATCATCATCATCATCAGCATCAGCATCATCATCATCATCATCATCATCATCATCATCATCATCGGGACACCATCATCGTCATCATCATCATCACCATAATAATCGTCATCATCACCATCGGGACACCATCATCATCATCGACATCATCATCAACGCCATCAGCATCACCATCATCAATCATCATCATCATCACCATCATAGTCATCATCATCGGGACACCATAATCATCATCAACATCATCATCATCATCAACACCATCATCATCGGGACACCATCACCATCATCATCTCATCATCATCCTCAACATCGTCATCATCATCATCATCATCATCATCATCATCATCATCATCGGGACACCATCATCGTCATCATCATCAACATAATAATCTTCATCATCACCATCGGGACACCATCATCATCGACATCATCATCATCAACGTCATCATCATCATCATCATCATCGGGACACCATCATCATCATCAACATCATCATCATCATCATCACCATCATCAACATCATCATCAACATCATCGTCATCGGGATACC